AATATCTGGTTCCAACAAGACGGGGCACCAGGTCATAACGTAAGGAGGGTGCAAAATTTTCTTCATGAATATTTTCAGGGGCGATGGATAGGCACCAATAATGGTCCAATAAGGTCTGCCCACACCCCTGATTTAACCCCATTCGATTTTTGCTTGTGGGGTTACCTAAAGAACCTAATTTAACAAACAGAAATTGAAGACTTGGCTGACTTGTGCAATAAAATTGCGAGCTGTGCATCTATTCCTCGAAATGTTTTATTACGGGCAAATGATGCTGAAGAAAAAGATATGAATTATGTATTCATGAGAATGGCGGCAATTTTGAACACTTATTGTGACTCGTGTATTATGTTAATTTAGTATCGTTTATTTGTGATTTTTGTTTATTTTGTATCAGTTTTTGTTAAATAAATATTACTTTATCTTGATCAAAAAGACTATGATTTGCGTAAACAAGATTAAATGAAGTAATTTCCTGTAATATCTATTAGTTAAATAAAATTAATTCATCACTGTTTTATTCAAAGCAATTTAATACGGCGAAAATCTGCAGTAGTTATGCCTGAAAACTTAACTTTTAAAAAATCTTCCTCCTGGAAAAAATTACCTCAAATCCAAATATCTCGGAAACTAGTGGCTTTTCGAAAATTGTTTATATCACAAAAGTTACTTATAATTTAGAGATCTTTCATGTGCGCCTCTTTTCAAAACTGCTGTCAACAAAATATGTTTTCAGATTGCAGCGACATATATACCTGCACTGAGAGGAGAGAGGAACGGGATTTGTACTTCCAAGTAAAGCCATTTATTGAAACTATACAGTGGATTTTTCAGAAATCATTTATCTTTTCCCGTTTTCGAGATATCCAGCTGGGGAGTTTTAAACGGGACACCCTGTATAGGTACACTAACTTGTTAAACTAGATAAATCGTTTCAGAAATTTTCCTATCAATCAAACATCAAACATCATTCATCATTATTGACCAAACGTTTTTTTTAGCTATGATTTCGAAATCATGGTTTGATTGGCTACTATTTGATAAATACTCAACTCTAAAGTTATATTACAAAATCCCTAGAATCCCTAGACTGATCACTGCGATATCTAGAAACGGTTTCCCTATTTTATATCTCTTTCTGGTACCATTGGTTATATTTAAAATGAAACACTTTTGACTTCATAAATTCACAAGTTATTCCTTGCATCCTTTCACTCTTTTATATGTTTAAATTTCCCGTTCTGTTCATTATTCTATTTCTCTGTTCAATGTACTGTGAGCTCGATAAACATTTTGTACTAGATAATGTTCCCCTTATCGAGTTTGTTGTACAGATGTTATCTCGGCAGACTGACGAGACAATTCCTCATCTTCATCTTCATCTTCATCATCTAGTGGTTGGTCCTTTAAAAGTCCCATAGCACTGCGGCCTAATTAGGCCTATTGTGCGTCCCACTACTAGTCCTATTCAGCAAGTAGATTTGTCCTTTTTACAAAGTCCAAAAGCTTCCTTGCTGACACTTCTCTCAGCTCCTTGGGTTCCNTTTCTTCCTACCTTCCAGGTTCAGTCTGTCGACTCCCCTAGAGATAGTAGTCACTGGTGTTTGCTTCCCAGTGGCTGTTTTATTTTCCGCCTGGTCAGCAATTACTGCTTCCCCGGCGGATGTTGACGGCCCCCTTTCGGGTTCCCGTTTTTTTGATTTATGGTCCATAAAGGTCCCACGAGTCTGGAGGAAATAAAAGTCACCGCCAGGTAGTGCCCCATGCCTGACGGAAGGCTAAATACGATGGGGTGCGCCAGGTTCCCCAAAGAGATCGTTTGCGATGCGACATTTTTACCTACCCCCGCACCATTCAGCCCTCGGCACGATGCGTTTCCACCTTGGCTTGGGTAGCTGAGCTGTTTCTTAGTTTTCACTACTCTCCCTCGACCTTTCCGGCTTGGGTGACCCTGCCAGGAGTATAAAACTCCCGCCGGTTTAGCTCTTGGGTTCACTGTAGCTACTTAAGCCCCTCCACCAGCGACAAGGTCATACAGCTCCCAGGAGGGGGACGAGACAATTCCTCTTAAGAGTAATAACTGCCGACAGCAGTAATTACTCTTAAGAGTTAGATGTTTTGTGTTCAAAAATAAAATGAATTTTCCTTTTGCAATTGTGAATCATGTTAATGAAATATTCAATTATTCTTCCGAGGAAGAGGAAATCATTGAAAAAGTTGACCGATATGCCGAATATACGGTACCACATTAATTAAATGATGTATAAATGTTTTAGCAAAGCACAGAACATAGTAGTGAAATAGTATTCTGTAAACTTTGTTTTTAGGTTAGGTTACCTTTGTTACTCTGTAAATAAATACTACCTCGAAGTTATGGGGTATATAGAGTGAGTTCTTGCTCTAGTCACTCTAATTGTAATAAACTATTGGGGTGGAGTAAAAAGAGTTAGCGGAGTTGGATAGCCGAACGCGCCTATAGTATCCTACTTTTTCGAAGGTCATGTAGTACCATTTTTTGAAAAAAACTGTATACATTATTCCCTTAACTAAAGCTAACACTGCCTACAAGATGCCTAATTTACCAAGTATAAGTTTCACCACCACCACCACCACTTTCACTTTACTAACTAAACTTATAACTCGCGCCATTATTCCATGGCTAGAAATTGGCCTCAATGATTTGGGATCGAGGGGGATTATCCCTCTTTATCCTGCCTCATCTCGTGTAGGCCTGGACAGCCTTCGTAGGTGGGCCCCATCCGTCGTCTACCCCGACCGCAAATGCGGCCGGTGTAGGCGCTTTGTGGGACCTCCTTTTGTCCTGGCTGGGCCCCGCCGGCTAGGGCCCTTTCTTCTGGCGCTCTTCTTGCTTCGCCGGCTCGTCTGTGTAAACCCCGGGGGTAGTGTCATGTTTATG